GGTGTGTGTAACCACCACATGTTTACAACAGCTCTGAAAGGCCCCAGCCTTAGTCAAACCCAAACCTCTCTAACCTGTGCGCTGCGACTTCCTCGCCGTCCCGTGGGGAGTCAGGGGGAGAGGACTGCGGCGTCATCTCAGAGTCTGGCGTGGCCGGCATCTGCTGCCCTCCAACGATCGGCTCCACTTCGCTGTCTGTGTCACTCTCAGAGCTAGTGTAGTCCGGCCAGTCTAAAAATGAAAGAGCAAATAATTTGTTTGACATGTTTAACTCAAGCTCGCTATACAAGATGAAAGACAGAAATTGATAGTGTGTGTGAGCATGTGTGTATGTGTAAGTGCACATGTTTGTGTGTAGGTGTGCTCATACAATTCAGGGCTGGGTGCCTGAGAGAAGATCTGAGAATGAAGACAAATCTAATGCTAAAGAAAACAAACCTCTTCCACTAATACTGCTTGGATTGAAACAACAAAAAACAAACGGTCTCTTCAAATAGCTCTGCTATAGTCATAGTTCAGAAGTACTTAAACCCTTAAAGATTTTCGGACTTTCAAACCAAAAGATGATAGAAAGATAAAAAAAATAATCTAATATGTAATCACCCAATGTTGCCTCAACAAATGCCCAACTGCAAGCCTTGGAAAGACTTCAGAGACATCAAGCAAGAACAAAATGGTCAAAACATTCCATCAGAAAAATGAACTACCGTGGTCGTTGCCATAAAACAGAATTCCAAGAACAAAAACTCATTCCAATATCAGCAGCACTCACCATTTTCGTAGGCGTTCATGGTCCCGTTGCTGAGAGCTTGGTGCTGCTGTTTCTGTGGGCGCTGCTGCTGTGCGACAGCCATGTCGGGGTGGTGGTGCTGTGGCGAGTGAGTTGTGGTCTCCTCGTGGTAGCTGTGCAGCATGTTCCTCTCCCCCAAGAGCTGCATCACCAGAACCTGCAACTCCCCCAGTTTGTCCTGTGGACAATGTGCACAACAGGAACTTCATCATCATCACTACTTTTCTCCCCTTGCACCAGGGTATAGACCGTGAACAAACACTTTCCACCTTTCCCTATCCTGACTAGCCTCATGACATTATTCCATGTCGTCCCTTTTTTTTTCTGTACATCATTCCCCATGACTTCTTCAGGTTTCAAATGGGTCCTCCCTTACAAGATTTACAAACTAGCAAACTAATAAAAAAAATTACTGCATAATGTTGCATTAAGTTTCTCTCTATAATAGGTCTGATCCTTCGTTCCATTATCATTATCCTTGTGTACGTTTCCTTTGAGTGGTTTAGTAAAGACATGCCCCTGCCAATAGTACAATCATGTTTGTTTCTTTTTTTCTTCCATATCAGTACCACTATGCCCTTACGTCAACCTTCTGGGTATTTACTTCACAGAAAAATCGATGACCACCACATCTACCCATCCGAACAACAAACAACTTCATTCATCCCATGCACCCTACTTCATCCACACTACTCTACCCTGCCTCTCACCTGTAGCTGTTCCCTGTCTCGGGCCAGCTGAGCAATGTAGTCGTTCTTCTGTGTCTCTCGCTGCTGCAACAATGCCCTCTGGTGGTGGTACAATGAAATGTACTCGCCTGAAAATAATAAAATGTAAATCCTTTTACAAAGTGTCGTTACGACGTGAGTGGAGGACAACAGTTACCCAGGGTGCACTGTTGGCTCAGTACCAAACTACAAAATGATGCAAATGACCTTCATTCTAATTCTTTAACTAATAGGGCAAATGACCTTGGTTCAAATCCTTTTGATAGAGTTCTTGAACTTGGCTTGTGGCTTGTTGGGGGAGTTTCTGCTGAGTCGATATCTGCTTGCTTCAGTCCTACTAGAGATGGAAGTCAAATCAGACATTGCACCTCTCGGGCAACCGTACAGTTTTAGCAGAGGCAGTCGTGAAGATTGAATTTTTGTCCTAACAGTGGCATAAGTTAATCCAAGCAACTATCTCACAGCAATATCAGTGTACTACCTGCATATTTGGGTAGGATCTATACAATTGCAGCAAGTACCCAGATGATATTTCCGAGACATAACCTTATTAACTTTACACAATGTCATTAAATCACTCAAAATGATCTGTGTTTTTCTGGTCAAATCGAGCGTGACTTACGTAAGTATATACATTCCATTAAACATATACAATTCAATATTAAAAGTGTCATAGACAACAAAGAACCATAAATAGTGGCAAAAACAGGCCTTTCTCAAACAAAGAAAACAACAGACACACAATCACAATAAATCTATTTCTGTGTTGTATGTATGGTTTTGTTTTGATTTAGTAGAGGTTTTATGGCGCTTGCAACTGCATAAGGTCATATGGGCACCAAGGGGTGGATGTCAACAGAGAAGTCCTTACAGGGAATCAGACTTACTTTGCTCATCTCTCTAGCTTCAACAGCACAAAGTCTGCTATATATATCAAGGCACCCCGGAAATAGCGGATCACAAGAGTGTGACAAACATACAAAAGAAGTAGAGGAAAATGACGATGGTAAAGATTAGGAAAGAAAAAGCAGAAGTTCCCTGTTGCAGTTCAGGCAGTTATGAGCATGACATCGATGAATCAGCCCATTTACAATTCTACTGACTACTGTGCATAAGAACAGGTTAATGTCTCCCCTTTGGGAATGGCCTATAAACTTCAGTCAGTAGAACCGCCCCGGGGGGTATCTGTATAGTTTAAATCTAATTCGAACAAATCTAATAGAATAAGTAGTGCTGGGATATAGCAAGACAAACAGATAAATGAAACAAAGAAACAGAAAAAGAAGTGCACTTTCCTACAACTCAAATATCCTTCAGCAGGGTGTTTAAGCAAGTTTAACTCATATAAAAAGAAAGAGTCGAAACAGTTTGATTTGTCCGTGGAGCATGGCACACAATATCTACCCTCCTCCCACATCAGCATAACAGATCATCTTTTACAGATACAGCAGCAAGGTTCAAAGGTCTTAACAGTTCAGTGTAAGTTAAGAGTTTACGGCATGTGCAACACAAACAGGTTAAATATAAATGCTGAAAATTAGAGGTGTTAGTAATACAGAGTAACATACCCCCCCCCCCCAAAAAAAAAAATTAAGAGAGAAAAGGAAGATAAAACAGATTTTTTATAAGAAAGAAAAGCAAACCACACGAAAGCACCTGCCTACCACTCACCAACAGACCAGTTTTTACTCGGACAGCAACACTTAAGGGTCTTAAGGGTCTTAACAGTTTATGCTGACTCGCACTGGATGGCACAATCAGGATGTTCCCATTTTTCCCTTTCCCATTCTTATTTCATTCCAGTCTCTCATCTCGTCTTTAACAAAGAATTAATGAACAATATCAATTCTCTTCTTGAATTGTATTTTTTTAACAATTATTTCTAAGCTTCATTAGTGATTTTACTACTCCTCAAACTTGGAAACAGTATTGAACTCACAGAGACTTGGGTGTAACCAGAGAAAAGACGAAATGACCTACACACTGAAAAAAAATTTCAGGCACGCGTCCACATCTTTACCTACTTGCAGGAATCGACCAGTACTTCTGGAGAGTCACAAAAACTGCATACACAACCTTGACAAACACAAAGATAAAACGAACAACTATAACGAAGACAATGTTGGTGATAAACATTATATTATAATGATGCAGACATAAACCTCACAGCTGCAGATACATAAACAAGCCATACACAACACTTTCCATCTCCTCTGACAAGCCTGACCACCAGAAGCAGCAGCCACAGGTTGTAAAGAATGTTCACCATCTCTCCACAACAGACACAAAACATTCATACACACAGCGAACATGGTCAGTATTCTTATACACATATAAATATTATATGTACACACTGTATACAAGGACTGAAAAGATAGAATATTAGGAGGTGCACCATCAGAGCACTCATCTTCCACCAACTACGAAGCTCGCACAGGACAAAGGGTCAGGAGAACAAACTGCTGACGTCACACATCCACACAGGACATCCCACGCACTCTCTCACTCACCCACAGCTCTTGTTTTATGCCTGGCTACTTATTAAATAATCCCACAGCACATGGGCACCATGGAGTATACAAGTGTGATCAATAAGATCCCCCCCCCCCCCCCCCGTTTTGAACTAAAACATTCAGGACTTATTCTCTGATGATTATCTGCAACTTTGTGGGGGAGATTACAGGATAACTACATAAAGAACAAGCTATACAAGCTCTTGGTTCACTACAGATGAGAGTAAAACACTCACAGGAGTTAAAACAGTAACATAGCATCACATTGCTTGAGGAATAATATATTATATATTAGCATTTGCGCGATACCATCACATGAGATCTTGATCATTATAGGCCTATGTTCTCTACTCTCCCATACATGTGCTACTCAGTAACACACATGTGCACACGATTCTCCGCCTCACAATGTGGGAAAAAATCCAGAATGGACACGGCTGACAGTGATGTTATAGCAAAACTCGGCTGGGTACAGGGTGTGTACATGAGGTGACTTAGCTAGGGCAAAACATTTTGACTTGCGTCCCGAAAAGTCAATCCACCTTCACATCCACAGAGGACTACAAGACCTGTTGTGAGTACACCGTGCTATAGATGAGAGACAAATGGTGAGTGGTTGATGTACAAATTTTTTCACTGACGGATATAATTCTTAGCCTTACAATAATGACAGAGTCACTACAGAACCACCAGTAGCGGCTCTAGTCTCATACTACTCTAAAACATAATGGCCCCATCCCAAAATGAGCAGACATTACTTGTGATTTTACTTTTGAAACAAAAATCTCATGACATTCACCAATGACCCGAGTGTGGAGTACGAGAGTCGGCCCGGGTTGGGGGGGGGAATAAACATTGCTGTGACCACTACACAAAACTACTTCTAAAATCCAAACACGAAAAAGACAAAATAAGATTTTCCCGATGAATATTCATTTTCAAAATTTGCTGAGCAAAATATCATTACATGTTGGTCACATTGTATACATACTAAAACAAATTTTTTAAATGAAGAGGTACTTTCCTAAGACTACTAAGAGGGCCAATAACTAGCAAGGAAGAAATTTAATCCAACGAAACCAAATTTGCAGTATCTTCCCCGGGAAGAATACAGCACAAAAAATATTTTTAAAAGTATCCTCCTTTAGCAAGTATAAGAAAGAAATAAAAAATATTCAACGAGCTACAATGTCCTCAGTCATTTATCACAGTTTTTTATAAATCATTTAAAATTCCTAATCTTTTGCCTTTCCAGACTCGAATCATAATGATTTCTTCTTAAGAGCTTCAATCATGTAAGGAACACCACAGTGGAGCAATTTGATTTTCGTAGGTCTGTCGAAATTATGCATTCTCCAAGACGGGCTCAGCACAAAACTACTAGTCCAGATCTTTCATTTAATGAGAGGTTGACCATCCTGAAACTTGTACAAAAACGTACTCTACATTCCTTCAGGATATGTTCTTTTTTTGATAACGAAAAACTGGAGTTGCGAAAACTAGGACAGTGATGTATCTCGTGCCCTTGGATCAGGGGCACTGTCCAAACACGAAAAGAAATACTCCGGCCGAGGAAGATATCACGGTATCTTGCAAACATCTTGAATACATTGGTTCACCAAATGTCCAATCAATCAGATAGCAGCACGTTGTACAAATCGGTGACCATTCTACTCCTGAAGAAATCCCACCACTCAGAACAAGAGACCACCAGGCACGGTCTCCACAGTCACGGGTCGAAAAGTGACAAGATGACTAACAGCTGAACGACTAGATCACATACCACCACAGGATCAGACCATCAAAGTGCTCAATGTGACCACTAAGGGGGCCAGTTTACAACATTCTCACTTTCACACACAGGTTAAAACATTACACAATTCTTATGGATTCCTTCTGGAGCTGTGAAATCTATTGAATACACAGAACATCAAATGATCTTTCTTCCAAGACCTCCCCTTTCTATCCACATAAGCCAAAGAGGTGCTGTCCAATCACAAAACCCCCCCCAGAAAATGACAACTACATAAGAAGATAAATTACTGTTCGACCACCTCCAACCCTATTCCCTCCTCCCTCTCCAGGTTCCACAACACAGTTTGCGCAGCTCCCTGACAGAAAAGTCCACACAGGAAATGATCATGTGAAAGCCTGATAGCATTCTCAACCCTGCCCCCCCCCCCCTCACCAACAGAAGGCAATTCACTAAACAATTTGCACAGCCCCTTTGCAGAACTTGCAGGGAAGGAAGTTCCTGTCTATGAGTGGCACCTGATCCACCATGTGCGAATGTCCCAACTCAGTGAGCAGGCTGAGGATTTTGTGCGCCGTGTGGTCCTCTTCGGCGGGCGCAGGGAAAGACGAGGATGACGGGTCAGCTGGGTGATGGTGGTTGTGGTGGTGGTTGTTGCTGTGATGGGGGTGGTGGTGTGAGTGGCCGTGGGAACGATGGGAGTGCTTCTGGTCCGACGACACAGAGGCGCTGTCGGCGTCCATGTGTGAAGCGTCGTGATTACTGTCCTGGTCATTGTACAGCGCCAGTCTGGGGAAGTGGACAACCGGACAGTGTCAGTGAAAGCTTAAGCTTTGGTCAGTGTCGCAGAAACAAAAGCATAAGTTTCAATGTACTGTAAATAAAAGAAAATCACCAAGTGTCCTCATAAATCTAAAAATATCTATGTGTAAAGTGTATAAAAACAAATGCAGTGTAAATGCATTGACACACACTGTGTAAAATTATAGCCCCATTTCAAGTTGTTTTTTTTAGTAGAAGTTTTACGGTGCTCGCAACAGCATAAGGTCATACAAGCACCAAGGGGTGGACGTCAACAGAGAAGTCCTTACAGGGAATCAGACTTACTCTGCTCACCTCTCTAGCTTCAGCAGAACAAAGTCTGCTTCGACTATCAAGGCACCCTGGAAATAGTGGGTCACAAGAGTGTGACAAACATACAAAAGAAGTAGAGGAAAATGACGATAGGATTAGGAATGAGAAAGCAGCAGTTCCCTGTTGTACTTCAGGCACAGTCATGAGCATGATATTGTTAGATCAGCCTATTTACAATTCTACTGTGCACTTGAACGAGAAATGTCCCCCCTTTGGGAATGGCTTAACTCTAATCCTGCGTCTGTGCCCAGATGCGTATCTTATCAACAACCGATTACGTCAGACGTGCCGGGGTCACTTAGTGTGTACTGTTGGTGTACAGCGCGCGCGCGCCGGGAAACGTGTTTTCGCCATGAATACCGCGGGAGTGTGTTAACTGATGATGAA